AAAAAAAAAAAAACAACTGTTCACATTATGACTGTTTTGAGAAACTCGCTTGATTTAAAAGCAAAATTCGTTCTAACAAGGATTCTTGACACCTGGTCAGTGTTACTGACCTTCGTAGTATTCGAAGTACAGTTGTCTGGCAACAATCACGTTCTCAAAAACATTCACTGAACTGCAACATGACCAATGTTTTTCACGAATTATATTTAAAAGCTCCACAGAGCAATCAAAAACCAGGTCTTTAACAGAAAAGCCACCATCCCATTATCATTTGACGTCCCGTCATTTCATTACCTGCTGACTCCAACATCTTTCAAAAAAGAGAAAACGAAAATCCGCTTAGTTAGTTTTCCTGCACTAAATTCCAGTACACGCCAAACTAATAAACACTCCCTACCAACCCTCATGAAAAAAAAGGAAAAGTTCAATAACCCTTCCTAAACTACCAGACAAAAGATAGCTTTCCAAACCAAGGAATGAATCATATAAAAACAACAATACAAACAAAACGCACTACATTTTATTCCGCAAATATTCACTACAGTCCCCACAAATAATCGTTACACGCCTATACATAACAGTTGCGCAAATACTAGACACACAACTATAGGTGGAAATATAAAAAAAAATGGCTTATGTTCCAGTACTACGCTAAAAACCAAAAATTTATATCTCGAAAGACTAGGACGAACACATAAAATCAAAATATCAATATTTCCCAGACAGTTCACCATTTTCTACAAATCGTTTCACTCTACAGCAACAACACAAGCAGTAAAAGTCGCTGAATCCACACAACTATTTTAAAAATCGAGACTTATGATGAGCGTTTTGCAGATTTAATGAAATTCTCTTATTTAACTTAAAAAGCGTCTCCCAATTTTTTATTTCAGAAGCAGTGAAGATGAAACATCATTTGGAACTGTAACAAATATTTTAATTCAAGATTCTCTAAAAATACAGTACACGGGGATTAACAATAAATATATAACTCAGAAAACTTCAATAATCCCGTTTGAAATCTTTTGCAGACAAATAATTCACTCGCACTTACAATTCTTTCGAACTACACTAGAATTCTGTAATATAAATTTAGATTTCCCTGGTTGGCAGCTTCTAGAATAATAAAACTTCTAATTAAACACTATTATTTTAGTGGCTTTAATTACGAAGCGTCAAAAGCAAAGGTATTTTTGCAAGTTGACCATACAGTTGCAACCAAACGCTTTTCAGCTAATATCTATTTAAAACAACCTATATAATATGTACACCGCTGGCGAAAAAATACGGACCCTCAAAACCCTACACCTGACAACTATACAACTCAGTAACAACTCTACATCAAAAAATCATTATCCTTGTTAAAATAATACTTAGCAGGTAAAGGCAATGACTGTCGTGCGTGCTATGCCGTCAACGAACTTTCCTTTTTTGCTTTCTCTTTCGCTGGAGCTGACGATATAATTCATCACTAGTATCTTCATCACCCGTACCTTCAACAACAAATTCAGGATTGATGTTGCGTCTCACCCTCTCATCAAAACGCCACAACGCGACCGTACCATCCCACTAAACAATCAATAATGCTTTACCAAACTAACTAATAATTAAAAAATGAATCAAGACTTCCTCAGCTGCAGCGTCGATAATATAACTCTCAAAAGAGTTAATACGAAACAAGAATGAAATAAAATCTGATATCATTGTACATACCGAAGTTGTAATAATTTCGTTTTCATAAGGATGCCAAATGCAGTCTCGAATTACTGCCTTATGTCCCTCTAACCTGCATTGAATTCCTCCCGT